CAGGAATATATTCAATATATTCACTTGGATACTTCACTGGACCTACAGATATGCACTGATATGTTCTCAAAATATGCAGCTGTTACTTGAAAAAATGGCTGAGTACTCCTAAAACTCTTAAGTTCAAAATCTCAAACATTCTGGAACTTTCCTTAATATGTTTGCTAATTGCTGCTATTGTTTTTTATAGTGACACAACATGCCCACATTTGAGGTGCATTAACTGATGATTCCTGAGGTAGTCCCATTTCTATCAGGGGACAAAATCAGAAGGTCCCCAGGGGGAAATGCTGCCACAAATAATACTGGTTTTTCTTTATTTTTATTTTTTTTTGTTTTATTTTACCTGATTTCCTCCCATGCCGTGGCAGTTGAAAATGCCCACTTTTTCATTTTCCTTGCGGCCCATGTTGTCTAAACACTGGTTGGTTTCAACATTCCTGATCTGAAGAAAGAAAGAGATTAAATGTTCCTTGAAAAAAAATGCCTGTAAATGTCATACTTGTGAAGAAAAGATTACAGCGCTGTAAGAAGTACATTATCCATGCATCTGACTACATGAATACATTTTAACTTGCAATCTGTAAATATGTCACACTCCCAAAAGAAAATGAAAACAGTTACAAAGAACACGAGTGAGATTTTAAATTACACGTTAAGTGTAAGTATGAACAACATTCAAGGCAAATCTTATTTGATGTCTTGCATTGTTTTTTTAACAAACATAATATGCTTTTACTTCTGAATGATGCAAAACTAGTAGCTTGCCCACGACACACACTTTTATTTCCTTCCAGCAGGGCTGACTCCATTGTGAGAGAGAAAAACCGAGTATGAACAGCATCGGACGTCTGACTCTTTCTGAGCAGAGGATGTTGGACAGCTTTTTGACTAATTACATACTTTCTAGAAATTTTAAAATAAATGAATCTATCCATCCTCGAAAAGGACAAACATACTTAGTGAACATGTCTAGTTAAACATTTCCACATCAGTTGTGCCGATGCAGCTGGGAGGAAGGCAACATTACAAGCATGTGGCCTGTGATGCAGCACACGGCGCGATGAGTTCCTTCCAGTGATTCTCAGCTCAAGCAATTGCAACAAAAGACCATCAGAACAAGAAGCAATGAGGAGCAGCAGGGTAAATACCAGAGCATCACTGCTCTAAATGTTATTTTTAGAATACATGTTTATCCAGGAAAATGAGTATAAAAGCAATCAACCAATTCCAACCTGGTAGGAGAGGAGAAGCAGGAGACACTGCAGTCTCCCTGAAGCTCTCCCACATCACAGTTTCCACAACAGTGTGCACATTCAGTCTGTACCACATGTGCATTTAATATTATTTTTCTTAACCCTCCTCATACACCTGTCAGCGGAGCTGTACAACAAACACAGCTCCCCTGGCTCCTCTTCGCTTCTTCGCTCTCAGCAGCACAGGCTGATTTTCTTACTAACGTGCACAAAGGAAAAACACATCTCAGGGTCCTGCACTCCTTTGGTAAAACTGTCAGGAAATACTGTATTTTGAGAGATTTCAGTGGCACTTAGTACAACTCTCAGTTGTCTGTGATGCTCTGTGCCACCCTCAGAGGCTTGGCAGGCCCAGCTGCCAGCACTAAACTAATGCCACCAGACTGGGCTTGGCAAGGAAAATGAGTGAAATCTGATTAAAGACACTGGGGCAGAGCAGCTCAGCAAAACTCATGTGGACGCTTCTTAATCTGCTCTAAGGCTGTTAATCACATGGAAAGGAGTTGCGCCAGCTTGTGCTGGCCTGTAACCTCTTGAAGGCTCATGATCTTAACTGCTTAATCCTCCAAGAGCTGCCGAAGTCAGGAGAAGGGCTGTCAGCATGCGCAGCCTGGCCACCCACCCAGGGGTTCAGACCTCAGGTGCCAGCTGGCAAACACACCGCTAGTTTCTACCACTGCTTTTAAAACAAATGGTCCCTCTTTAGAGATATGTACCCTAGCCCTACCTGTGGCTACATATATGTGGCTTTCTGACATGCACATGCCAGTAAACAGCTGCAGCATCGCAGGAAGGACAAGCCAGCTCATGGGAAGACCTTCCTCCTCTTACTCCTCTCTTCTCCTCCAGCACTTGTTACTCTGCAGATTACCAAAGAAACTGCAGATCACCAACCTGTATCCTATCAATTAGCTGAAATGATAATCCCAGGGTTTTTTCTTTAGACTTTTTTTGTAGAAATAGTTTCAAGTATAGCCACAAGAAAGGCAGTTTTATTTTCTGGCAAACACTTGATTCATTAAAACTGGGAATAAAATAAAAAGTCCCTTGAAAACTCAGCTATGATTATTATGTCTCAGGTTTACAAAATAATTCTCGTCTCATGTTTACTTTGTATTCAATGTTACACAATTAAAATGTAAAAAAGAACAGTCAATATTTACCACATTTTGCACATTTTATTCCCATTCTGAGGTATATTATCCATCTAGGAAATTCAAAACTAACACAGTCCCTGTATATAAGTTATGTTCTAACTGAACAGAAAATTTACTTGCAAATAAAGGCTTGGCAACCTTCAGGATCAACCTGTTAAGTGTACAATGAATGTGCTTCAGAAACTACTTAAGAATTTCAGTTCTGCATAGCACCACACTTCAGAAATTTCACTTACAAATTGTGCATTTCATTTACAAAAGCAACCAGCATATATCAATTAGTAGTGCAACAGCCAAATAAAATCCAAATTAAAATGTGAGACAACACTGACTATTATTTCTAACAGGTTGGGCCGTGCAAGTGAGCCATGTGTGAACACTATCCAATTTGAAGTCACACCTGCACTATCCTGCAGGAGGTCATAAGTAAGAATGTTTATCCTAAATCTGGTGAAATGATTCACACTTTTTGTCACTATTTGTATTAGAAAAGAACAAAATATGCACTCACACAATATATTTGGAGTTGAACGCTCCTTACATTTAGGTTGCGCTGTACTAGAGAATAATTTTCTCAGATTTATTACAGAGCCCGATTCTTAGCAGCCAGTGAACCCACGCTCCCACCTGCAGGCTGCATCATATTCTCTTTTCTTTCTCTTTCATCATTTTTTGAGCCACGGGGAAGTATAGTCCTCCCCTGACCAGCCACCCCCACACATGGTGCATCTCACATAGCCCGTAGGCACATTAGGGACCATTTGTGGATTAATGATGCCAACTGCATAGACAAACCAGGCAGTTTGTCCCACCTGAGATTACATCTCTGCCAAAAGAGAGGAAAATGACTGAGAAATGCACTCCTGATGTTTTAAAAATTGTCCATTACTGCTGATGATGGTACCTGAGCTTCAGGTCTAACAACGCACTTTACTGCTCAACTGGCAGTCAGCAGCCACAATAGTCAAGTGTGAGTTTTAATTCTTAGATCCTGCCTGAACTGCTGTTTCCATAGAAACTGAGGCTGTGCTGGTAAAAATAAGGTGTTTTAATAACTATTTTATTACTTTCTCATACTTCTATTTTCCAGTGTGACAATATCATACAAAATCTTATTTGACACTTGTTAGATGAGTTCCTTCCTTGCTGTAAACACCATGTTCCACTTTATCTTGTCATAGTTAAACTGGAAACCCTACTGTGGCTTTTATTTGGCACTACTACTGCAAGTTTCAATAGTAAACTACTTTCCTGGATGTAACAAAGTAAAATTTGCTCATTTGACTGCTTTTTTATCTGTGGCAATCTTTAAATCAAGCCATTCAAGAGCTTTTAAAAGTCAGCGTAATTACAACTCAGTAGAATATTTTTAGCAGTGAATTATCTGAATTTGAAAAAGATTCCAGCTTTGGGTGATACTAGAACCATCAGAGTATTAGGAATGTCTGTGATACCCAGCTCCAGGCAGCCTTGCTGGAAAACACAGCATCAATGAGCAAACACATTTCTTTTAGAAGAAAAAAGCAAAAAACCCAAAGCTTTTTCTATTCTACATGTAAATAATAAGTGATGATGGAAAGTTTCCTTCAACTATTCCGATACACTTTTTTTTTCCTTCACTTTTCCAATACACTACTCAATTTAAAAGATACATTTTTAATTGTGAATGTATACATTCAGAATAGCAATGCCCTCCTATGAAAGATTCAGACAAGATGCAACCTGTTCAAAAGAAAAGTTAGATGCAGGCATTGCATCTTTACTCCTTTTCCCAAAACCACTTCTTCTCTCAGTGATTCCTCCCCTTGTGCTGTGTACTTACTGTTCTAGTGTAACCAAAGGAAATGGTTCATACCTCACCAAGGGAGTAATAGCGCCGTGGAATCTGGGAATCAGGATAGATGTTTTCCAAGTACCATGAGAAAGGTTTACACTTCAGATTTTCTCTCAGTGCTTTTCTGATGGATACATCACCATAATCCACCTTAACAACACCTGGAATTGTTAAGAAAATAGATGATCAAAGCACAGGTTTTGTAAAGCTGCAGAGCATGCATCATGGATTCTTCTCCCATTGTCATGATTTCCTTTTTATCAATATCCACTTGCTGGAATTATGGTGCAGCAGTATGTGAATGCATATGCAGCTGCCAAACCATAGATCTTTACAAGCATTAAGCGATTAATTTTTGCAATTTGAATTTTGCAAATTGAATCATAGAAAGGTTTGGGTTGGAAGGGATCTTAAAGATCATCTAGTTCCAGACCCAGAATATTAATTTTTATTCTTTTCAGATTATTTTATCTATCTGGAAAGGCAGGACCACTGAACTCCTTGATTTCTTCATATTCCAAAATAATAAATAATAAAGATTTTTACAAATTATTTTTTTCCAAAGCATCTTGCTGGTGTTTTCCAGCACCCCGCTGAGAGAAATAACTTGGGTGAGGCATGGCTATTTTACTTCTATAATCTAGAACAGCCCTTGGGTGATTTCACCAGCAAGGACACGTTCTCCATCCTGAGGAACCCTGTTGCTCCTTCCTTCCTGTGCCCCACAAGGTCCCACAGACCTTGGGCTCAGCCCACAGCACAACTCACAGCATAGCTATCATCAACACTATTATAAAATTTAATGTCTCCTGTAATAACGCAGGGAAGCGGAAAAAAGGTGGCAGGCTTCTGCAGAGGGCAGCCAGTGGATAGGACCCACCTCTATGATGACCCAGAACCCCTATGACAGGCAGTGCACTGGTGGCACAGCTCTCCTCGAGGGAGAAGATGTCACGTCACATCACATCAATTAAATTGTCACCGTGTCTGGTGGGGCTGTTCCTGCTGCAAGCCTATATACATCAGAGACCTGAGCCAGCAGCATCCTGCTGGCCATCAGGAGTGGTGCATGGGCCACAGATCAGAAATACAGGTCATGAAGAGAAAAAAAAAGAAAACCAAATTGAATAATCAGCAAGGAGAGGGGAAATCATTTGAAATCCCCTCCCACCTGGCGCCCTGTACAGCATATTCTTAATTAAAAGAATATATGGTGCTTTCAAGACTCATGATAGCTAGTCAAGCAATTTATTTCACACAGGCATGGCTGCACATCCCAGGCACAAGACACTGAATCAATGATCACAGAAAGCAACGTAAAGGCCAGGCTTAAGGTGCTTGGCCAACCTGAGTTACTTAGAAAGATAACCCAAACCCAAAAAGCATTTCAAATATTCTCTGTATCCTAATTTAATCTAATTTTAGATGAGAGCTACCGTTCAAAGAAACTGGTAAGCAAAGGAACAGCAACTGCCAGCACTCAGCTGAAACAGTTTTAGACACTCTCCCAGGTCTGTATCTGAAAACCATGCTGCATTCCATCATCTTCTGCTTTCCATTATTTATGCAATCTTATTTTTAAATTATCATAGAGGTGAAGCTCCAAGGATATCAGCATATTCTGCTAGAAAATCATGCCCTAATGCACAATTTTTAAAGAACTTTAGTACACAGCAACAGCAAGACTATTCATTACTAGTAACAAAAATTAAACTTATTTTGGTTAACCACTCATCCATATTTCCAAATATTTACCAGTTACACCTTAGAAAAATTAGGTTCGTGTATCATTATATAATTAAAGGATAAGATGTAATTCTAGATAATTAACTAAAATACAGGATATACTACAAATTATTGCTACAGGTTAAATCAAGGCAGGTGCTCCTGGGAAGCACCTTAGCTTGATCAGAGCGGCTGGGGGTGACTAATACTTCATCAGCTCCAGATCAGCAAAAACTCCTCACAAACTGAATGTTCTTGGTCAGCGCCAAAAAATTAAGTGGCACTTACTCCGGCATTAAGCAAGCATGAAACTTTAAACTTCAGTAAATGGAAGTATTCAGAAAGAACCTTCAGCCATAACACATACAGAGAAATTAAATTGTAGTAACTTAGGGGATGGTGGAAAAGTGAAGAGAAATGAAATCCCTGTGGTGCAGTCCCCGAGCAGAACAGATCTGCAGGGCCTGTGGTGAACACACAAGAATTGGGAAAGGCAAGCTCACAGCATGGGGGAATACATGGGTTCTTAGGGCAGAGGCTTTGTAAGGACGGAGGCCCCATCCACTCTGCAGCTCTCAGAACATCTTCTGCTATGACTGGTAAGGTGTTGGGGAGGCTCTATAAAAGTCCTAAAAAGATATTTTCTTTTTCCCCCCCAAGAAGCAAAAGTAATTTATCAGCTGTTGTGCTGGAGATGGATCACAGAGTTACATTTGACTCTGTTTAAGGGAAGAAAAGCATACAAATTTCAGAATTACAGTAGTTAATTAATATTTTATTTTTTCAAATGGCAATTCTTCTCTAAATATAACTTACGCAGTCACTGTTTAATTTAATTTACAGTACCTAAAACTACTACCTAAACCACCTTGGGTCCTAAGCCCCGTGTTTCCATTAAGCAGCATCTTAAGGCTGTTAGACTGCTTTGTGTCTGTCTATATTCGCCACAAAAGGACCAAACTAAACAGATGACAAGTGCAGCCTCTGGACCTGGTTGGGCATGAGCAGGATTGCAACATGAGTTTTGCTGCAGATTGTCATTTTTATAGATGAGGCCTTCAGTGATACTGTTTAGTGGTGGTCTTGGCAGTCCTGGGGTAATGGTTGGACTTAATGATCTTAAAGGTCTTTTCCAACCTAGTTGATTCTATGATTCTATTGTACCAGTGGTGGAAGACCAAGAACACCTGCCTGACTTCAAGGCTATCCGTTCAATCTCTGTGAAAACATCTTTGCTATCAGAAAAGAGACTATTTAAAAAAAATAAAAAATAATAAATGTTTTTCAGGTAAGCTTTAACGGGCAAGGGTCTGCAATTACTGCCTCTTTGGTAGAATAGACGTGCACTTCCGCTATTATTTGTGCTACTCAATCTTTATCTATAATTAAGCTAATCTTCCTCATGGGAAGGCACTGGAAGTGCTAGCAGAAAAGCAATATCTGTTTCATACTGCTTTGTACCGTGGGGATCTGATGAAGCTGAACATGAGGAAGAAGGATATTAACATGGTTGTATTCTCAGATGGCAAACAGCACAGCCTACCCCCACTGCACGCACCCACTTTGATAGTTTTAGTTATGAACAAAATCAAAAACACTGTCTCTCAATGAAAATGCCCTGTGGATCAACCAAACACCTTGTTTTGATTTTGCTTTACAATTCTTACAGGGACTTTTATTTCCGCACTTGGTTCAGCCCTGAAATTGCTGGATTAGAAAAAGGAATGAATGTTTTTCCAGTCAATCGGACTCAACTTCATTTTAATCACAGTTTTCTGTGATTAAACAAACTCTAGCAAAATAAACTCTAGTTCTACATCTTCATAAAACATAGCTGTAGACATGGGTAGTCTTTGGTGGGTGTGGCACACTCACCTCACTGGGGCAGGTTTATTCTGAGGCTCTTCAGGCCCTGGAATGCAGATGCAGAAACCATGGTCACTGTGCCCAAGGTCTCCAAGGCACTGGCACAACCCCTTTAATCCAAGCTGTCCTTTCCTTTTCTCTCCACGGGCTTCTAACACATGTTAAAAATACTGCCTGCTAAACCCCTGACAGGTTCTCCTTTCCCAAAGCTCTATTATACATATTACTCATCTTGCAGGAACTGAGCTGGTTCATTTTGTGGCAGTCACTCGCATACATGCAGTGATGCCAGCAGTCTCCTGCTTCGTCTTCAAGCAAGGACCTCATTTGTATGGATCTCCACTAAACCTTTACAATCTCTTCTGCTCAACTTAAACCCAAGCTATTATGAAGCAATACTTATTTATTGTTACTAGTTGCTAAAGAATCAATGAGACTCAGAGAAAATATAAAAATAATTAATGACTTGTAAGGCTACTTACACTTAAATAAGAAAAGATAAGTAAAATGTCCTTGGGTGAAAAAAAAATAAAGAAATCTCATAAGAAGCTACAGGAAGCATAGTGTGCAAAAGAATGGATTAAAAATCAGAAGCAGATTATTTTAGCGGAGCAGTAGATGTGCTGGAAGTAGAACAAATTAAAAGGTTGCAGCATTGCATTGCATTGCATCTGCATTTTCTTCTAATGGGCATGACCTGCAAATAAGCATACAAGGGCATAGTTTCAAAATTGGCAAAAAGTACCATTTCTGCAGAACAAGACACTAATTCATGGTGATAAAGATTTAAAAAAAATAAAATAAAATAAATAAAAATAAAAAAGCAAAGCCTGGAATGGAACAGAAATTGTAGAATTGAGAATAATGTAAGAATATCACTTTGAAAACTTAATCCAAATTAGGCTTTTGCTTTCTTTTGCTGCCTTGAAAAGCCTAAGAGAAAACTGTGTGTCACTGAAGCGATATTCTAGTGTATTCAAAGGGAGAGCAGTGTGACCAGAGAAGCCAGGCTATGCGCATCTGTCCATAGTTCAGCTTTGGAAGCCTGTATCACTTTGCACAGAAGCCAGCTCATTATCCAAGGTGTCCCCTTTAAATGAGAAATCTAAGAACCAAGTTGAAGGCCACAGGAAACCTCCAGAGATGGACATAGTTTACTTTGATTTTGGCTTTTTTTACCACCAAAGCAGTATTCAAAATAATATATGTTTCACAGGATTGAAGATGGCAGAGAGCTAAATTAAAAATGAGTTTGCAACACCCGGGTGCCTGGTTTGGCACACATGACAGAGAAGCAATGAGAACACTTGCCAACAATTTTTGAAAAATACTAGTTGCTGTATTAATATGATTCAGCCAGTACCGGGGAGGATGCTTCACTCCAGCACGCTGTGCTGCCTTGCATCCAAGGAGGCAGAGGGTGGCTGCCAGCAATTTGCGAGAAGAAAGCTCCATCCCTCACAGGCAAGGGCTGAGCAGGTCCTGCAGTGCTACAATACGATCCAGGAAATTTAACACATAATGCTCCGTGCTTCTAAAATCCATGGGTTTTAATGTTCTGTCTGTATCA